CTCAAACAATTAATAATAAAAGTCAAGTATTTAAACTAAATATATATTAATATTTACAATTTGTAAGTTATATAAATTATACAAACCTCCAGTTGGTTTGAATCCAAAAACTCCATTAAAGAAGGCAGGCATTCTAATAGAACCACCAATATCACTGGCAATGGAAAATGCAGCTCCACATGCAGCAATAACTGCTGCTTCTCCACCACTACTTCCACCCACATTTCTAGTAGTGTTATATGGATTACAAGTTTGTCCATATAAATTGTTTCTTGACTCAGTCCATAAATTTAGTTCAGGAATATTTGTTTTTGCAATCAAAATGCCACCAGCATCTTTCATAAAACGTATTACTGTAGCATCTTCTTGGGAGCGAAAATTTCGTCTACTTATCAAACCCATTGTATGAAGCATACCTATATAATCATTATAGACATACAAGGTAAATAATTTAATTCAATTAGTATAAAATATATAAAGGTTACATTAACTGCATGGAGTACAGATGTGCCAGTAACAACAAATGTACAGATGTCCCATTTAACTTTATGATCTAAAGTATCTTTTATCCATTACTTTTAATAATATGAGAAAATGGTTGAAATCAAAATTGTAAAGTGGGAAAAACTATAAACACTGAAAAATTATTTGTCAGACACTTCTTTAAATTTTCAGATCATCTTTGCACATAGTAATGCTCTTAATGAAAGCATTGCTGCCATATTTGTATAATAAAATAAAAGATACACTGTTGCCTATAAACCCAAGGTAATCAGTAGATTTAAAACAAAGATATCTGAGTTTCAAATATATTTAATTACTACGTGAAACCTATACTCAAAATTACCTTCTGCTTCATTGCTTTCTTTTGTTGTAAAAGGAACACCTAAGAATGGTTTCTTTTCTTTCAATGTATCAACATTTTTCAATTCCTGTAAAAACTTATCTACTTCTTTAGCTTCTTCTAAAGCTTCTGAATATCTATCTTCAACTACAGCATTTATAATTTCATTTATTTCCTTTGCTCTTTCTATAAATGCTGTTACAACTTCTAAAGATGATATTTTCTTTTTTCTACAAAAATATTTATACAATTTAATTTTATATTACTATA